ACCTAAGCTGAAATAAGCTGACTTATTAAGCTTACTTAATAAGTAAAGAAATTTAAAACCACAAATACAGAAAGCACAAAATGAAATATTAGGGAAAAAATCCAATAAGAAGATGTCAAGGGCTGAGAATGTGACTCAGTGGTACTGCACGTGCTTATCATGCATCAGTATCTAGATTCAATTCCTACCACTGAGGGAAGGGGGGATAAGATACACTGTTGGATAGGAGTTTTTAAAATTAATTAATTAATAAAACCTATATGTTACTTATGAGACATATACCAGAAATAAGGATTCCAAAAAGTTGAAAGTGAAAGCACAGAGAATTTCACTCAGAAAAGTAGAATACTTACATTGGACTAACACACCCATAAACAGTAAATTATGATCTCTGGCCAAAACATAAAACTAACTATGTGCAGGCTCCAGAGAGCAACTAAAAGGCAGAAACTACCGAGAAGCCAACACTTGAAAGAGAGAAACATATACTAGATAAGATGTGCTTTTTTATATATAGCTGCTTCCTAAAGACAGATACCAACTCAGCAAGACAGTTAAAACTCAAGAAATTGCAATCACATTACCTTGAAGTACTAAAGGATGAGGTACCAGCTAGCACAGTAACTGTAAAGTGAGGAGGAAAACCAAGAATGTGGAACCCCAAAAATATGTATGTAAATTCCAAAACAACCCTTAGCTAAGCCATAAATCATACAACACAAGATAGACTCCTGTTACAAAACAATAGTTAGATGGCTAAAATAACTGAGCAAAGATATCCCCTGTTGCCTAATTTAGGGGAATCAGTTTAGAGTTTAAGTCTAGCCAGTTAACTGCCTGCTAAAAAAACAAAGAATCAATACTCTTTAGGAGAAAAATGAATTGAGGGTCAGAAAAAGTATTATCCACAATATCCAGTAAACAACAAAAAATTACTAGAAATAAAAATAAACGGGAAAATGTTATTTGTCATCAAGGAAAAAAGCAATCAACAGGTATCGAACATAAAGCGACTCAGATGATGAAATTAGTTAAAGAAGACTATAAAGTAGTTATCATGTATAAGTTTAGTAAGTTAATAATAAAGGAAGAGAGAGATCTCTCATCAGACAAAATTATAAAAAAGAACCAAGTAGAATACAAACAAAGTCTAAAATGTGAAGTTTGCTTAATGGTTTAACAGCAGATCAGAGACAACAAAACATAAGGTCAATCAATGTAAATATAGATCAAAAGAAACTATGCAATCTGAAGAKCCAAAAGAATAATTTCCTAATGAACAGAACCTCAGTGAGCTATAATTCAACATAAAATTAACATGTGAAATTGGGAGTCCCAAAAAGGAAAGTACAAAGAAAATTATATAGAAGAGGTTTCCAGTGACCTCTAAAGAAGATAAATATAAAAAAGTAATAAATCCTATAATTAGAGCACATCATATTCAAACTGCTAAAACTCAAAGATGATAAAAATCTTAAAATCAGCTGAGGTAAAAATGACATTTTATATATGAGGGGAAATAGCTGACTTTTCTACATGAAACAAAGACATTTTCATGTAAACAAATGTCAAGACAACTTATCTCTCAACAGCCTTGCACTGTAAGATATATTAAAGTTTCTTCAAGTACAAAGGAAATTACTCCAGAGGAAGCTGTAAGAAAAAATGAATAACATAAAAAACATAAATATATGAATATAAAAGCCTACTTTCCCTTTTAATTTCTTAAAAGACATATGACTAGTGAAAACAAAAATTATAGCTTTGTACTATTAAATTTATTAACATGAAGATACAATATGTGACAAAATTAAAGCAAAGGATGGAAGTAGGAGAAAGTTTAACTATGCAGTTGAAAGGGATTTACATATTATGTAACACAGTACAACCCAGCATCTATCTAAAGCTAAAACCAAATAACTCCTGGGAAATTAGAATAGGAAAGGACTTTGTTAACCTGACAAAAGATACCTGCCCCAAATCTACCATAAAAATAAATAAATAAGTAAAAACTATTACTGATTAAGTGTTGAAATTATTATTATTATTATTATTATTATTATTATTATTATTATTATTTGGGTGGTGGTGTTGGGATTGAACTCAGGGTCTTGTGCATTCAAGGCAAGTACTCTACCAACCAAGCTCTCTACCAACCAAGCTAAATCCCCAGACCCCTGGACACATTATCTTAAAAGTTAGGAAAAAGACAAAGATGCCTCCTATCCCTTTCTTCTGTCTATAGTATACTAGAGCTCCTATCCAGCACAATAAAACAAGAAAAAGAAACAAAAGATTTAAGAATCAGTAAGAACAAAAGAGAGAGAAAGAATTTGGATTAAAAAATTGAAGGAAAAAAAGACTACTGGAATTTATGAAATCAACATACAAAATTTAACTGCATTACTTGGTACAAATAAGAAAAAAATTGCCTTAAATAAATATGTGTGTGTATATGTGTGTATAGTTCAATAAAAAAAAGTAAATTCTCTATGTGCTTTATACAGGTTTCCAATCAAAACCTCAACATACCTCTTTACAGAACTTTAAAAGTAGATCCTAAAACCACATGGAAAATGGCCAAGAACTAGGTGAGACAATGCTAACATATATCAAGCAATGGTAATAAGTCAGTGTGATAATGAAACAGAATAAAAGAYGAACAAAACAGAATAGAGCCCAGAATCTGAACCATATGAATATGCAAACTTATGACATAGATGGAACTACAGATCAGTGTAAAAAGGATGGGCTATTTGAAAAATATTCACCTATGCATAAAAATAAAATTCTTACTTCATACCATACCAAAAAAAATTCAGTTACATATGGATTAAAGACTTAAAGATATATATATATATCTCCCAAACTTTAAAATATTGGCCTATATCTCCATGTCATTGAGTAGGAAAGAATTTCTTAAATAGCAATAAAAAAGATGAATAATATCTACTACACAAAAATAATACTTKTAATACAACCAAAGACATCAGACAGCTAAAGGTGGACAAAGATCAGGAGAAAATATCCACAAAACAATTAGCAAAAGATTAGTATCAGAATGTATTAAAAACTTCTCTAAATTAAAACAAACAATAAACAAGAATGCATACAACTGAAAATGGCCAACAGGAATAAAAGGGCAAGCCACAGAGAAGAAATCAGAAACAACCAATGAACATAGATAAAAATATGTTCAGCCAGGAATGATGGTGCTCGTATCCCAGTGACTCAGGAGGCTGATGCAAGACAATCACAAGTTCAAAGCCAGGCTCAGCAATTTAGCATGACCCTGTCTCAAAATAAAAATAAATAAATAAAAGGGCTGGGGGTGTA